ACACCGAAGACATTTACCAGTTTTAACACAATCCTGTAAGATTTTTTCCCATCTTTACTAGTACTAGTACTAGTTTCTTAAGATGTATAAATCTATATCCATTCGCAAATTCAAAACCCCTTTCCATTCGAACTCACTTTAAATCTTACCTTCATTTACCACAGTCTCCGACTGAACACGCTTCATCTGGAAGTGAACATTGGCAGGATCATGTTTTGTTTTCATAAGCATTGCATAATCTTCAAAAAGGGTGAGCAGATCCCTGAATCCAAGGCTGATATGTGAGGGGCTAACTTGGACATCAGTAAAGTAACTGGGCACTGTGCAATGGCCATTTCTTCGGATGTTCAAATCAATGGGCGGACTTCCCTCATTTGCAGTATTCACATCACCTTCCACCTGTTTGATCTCTGCAGTGCTTTCATCTTTGGGACTGCCAGTTTTTGGACTCAGCATCTTAGTCGGTTTTTCCCGTTGTGATTTGGAGTGTTTTTTTGTGTATATAAAAAGTATGTGTGTGTGCGAAAGTACATATAGATACTTTCGGGGGAGAGTACAAATTAATTATAATTTTACTTTGCTTCTAATCCGAGTGATTCCAAAACAATTTATCTGAATTTTCAATGAAGGGTTGCTTGTTGTTACCTTATCTACTTTAAACATAACTGGACAGGCCCGGCAATTGACCAGTGGTTAATTTTTGCGCTAAATTAAGCAATTTCCAGTCATGTCTGTGTGGCAAGTCCGAGATGCTTCTGCCACAATTGACACTTCAGGCTCTGGTCTATGGATTTACCCATCTAATGGGACAATTATTTCGGTCTAGCGCACTAATAAATGCATTTATGGATGGGACACCGACAAGAGAGTTTAAATGGTGGAGCTCAGAGTGCATTTTATTCCATCCAGTGAATTGATAGTGCAAATTCAAAGATTTAAATCACAATGTCTCCATTTATTTCATATTTTGTTTTGAAAAACTTCTACGAAACTCTATTAATGTATCATAAATTCATTGAATATCTCGAGTGGTAACTTTTACCACTGGCGTCGCTCTAAGTCCTCTGGCGTCCAGTGCACACCTGCTACTCAGTGGCCGGGATACATTCCTTGGCCCTGGCCATTGTTATCATTTAAAAGGCTTAAGTGCGTCAAAGATTTATATATTTGTATTTGAAGGGGAAGGAATATAAACTCGTAGCGACACTGTTGTCGAGCGAGGAAGACGAACCCCAGTCCCAGGGTACGACGAAATAAGATAAACGTACATTTTATTGATTTTCCTCTCGCCTGTACTGAGCCTGGGCTGCGTGTGTCTGTGTTTGCCTTCGGATTCTGTTGCCATGGACTGCATTTTCCAGCCCCATCGCAATTTTGTCGCCGGTCCAAAAAATAAGGGAGTTGCGAGTGGGCCGAGGACTTAACTGGGCAGCCAACGCCTGCGCTTGATTCATCTCCCAGTTGATTGCTGTTTGTGCAAAAGTGTTGAAGCAGAACAACTGGGATCGAGTGGGCCGCCATCCATTATCTACCATTTCACCCTTTTGCCTGTAAGCCCTACTTTAGGGATGTGAGGCTGGGTTAACCATTCGATCTGGCTTATATGACTTATTCAAGTGGGATCACACGATTTCAGTATAGTTTATTGTTCTTTAAAATAAAGTTAAACGGAAGATTAATAGCGCAGCCATGATTGTAGACCATAATAGCTCCAGTAAGCATTAACATATCGACTAACTAATTAAAAAACTATTAAAACTAATCAAGTTTGATCGACTTTCAAATACCTCATACAAAAAGTTTTGTATAATTGAAATGGATCGATTTTAAAAGTTTTAATTGCAAACTTCAAGGGTATACAAACTCGAAACAAGCTTGCTTGTTTTAACGTTCTGTTGGTTTTGATTGGAGGAGTATTCTTGAGCAGGAGCGCATTATTTAACTGCTTATAATTTGTAAATACACTGAATTGGGACATGGTTAAACGAAACATCTTAAAAGTATACAAATTGTATAAATTAAATAAACATTTACTGAATTGCTGTACCAATAGTTTATGATATATAAATAATTATGTAATACTTATACGTATAGGTTCCTTTTGCTTTGGGCTTTTCCTTTTTGGCAATCTTCCTGATTACGCTGCTAAAATTGTTTCGACCTCTTTCTATGATTTATGAGGTGTCGCTGATTATTCTCGGTGGCGCACAATAAATATTTTCGAGTCTTTTCAATTGGGAAACCAGAGTAGGCGTCTAACCGTTGCCAAAAGTAATAGTCGCCCCTTTGGGCTTAGGCATCCCATAAATATTATTTGTTTAGAGATATTTTCCCTTTAATGCTAGCTTATCATCTTGGCAATGGCGAATGCTGCATAGGACTTTCCACTGGCCCAGCATGCATTCAATTAGCGTCTGGCAAGAATTCGGACTTTCACAAAGCCATATTTTCTCAGATTTTTTCACTAGATTCTAAAAGTTCTGATTGCCAGAAATAGCAGCTGGTAAGCTATGGATATTTGTACAAACATATATCATAATAATCTGAGTGCTAAATGCATTTCCTTGTAGGTTCTTGCTTTGCTTTGGAAAGTAAACTGCAAACGTTTATTAGAATAAATATAATTGAGTAATATCTTAAGAACTCTTGAAATGCCATTGAATTGAATGAGAACCACAGAACCGATTAAGGATAGTTTGTTTGGCATTCACGATTACTAAAAATTCACGATTTGGTAAAAACGTTTTGTTATATAATACGCATTAGAGTTTTGTTGATGTTGAAGTCACATGGGAAATGACAGTTAACATTTAAAAGGTTGAAATGGAAGTAACAGGGAAGTTCGTTACTTATAAATTGAATTACTACATCTGGTAAGAGTAGAATCCCCCTTATTGTTTTACATACTCTGATATTACATAAGCTTGATTCTGCGAAGAAAGCAAAATAGAAGTTGTTGGTATCACATTTACACCTGCCAGAACCCTCAAATCATTTCAAAAACTCTTCCCACTCGTGTCTGCGGTAAAAGGCAACTGAAATTTCCGCGTGAATCACCATTCAAGGCTTCCTCCCGCACCTGTGGCAATCAGTGGCTCTGTATTTTCTCACCTGGCCACTTGACGCTTACACATAGCTCACTGCTGGTTAGTTGGCGTTTAATGGCATTTGACTCTCTTGACGTTGCAAATATACATAGATAAAATAGAAAATACGAAAATAGAGAGTAAATAGACGTAATGGCAATATTGCTAAGAAAATCAATAAAACAAAATTATATAGAGAGACAGAAGAGCAGACACCAGGCGGCAAGGAGTCGGTGGAACAGTTGTGTAATGAAGTGGTTTCTTAATTTGGCAAAGACATCGAAGAATCCGAAATTGAAAGTAAAATATGATGCAGGTCCTTGAGTCCCGGAAAGGGAGAAAAACCATCATCAACGCACTTAATGCCCTTGTTTGCTTAACTTTACTTCTCATATGTACGTTTAAAAAATAAGTAGTACAAAAGAGTAAAGAAATAAGGGAACAAATACAGGAGTCAAGAAAAGCTCTATATTAAATTATCCGATTATAGGGTACTATTTTGCAATGGTCGAATTTCTCTTCAAAATGATATCTTCAACTTATGGATTTCCACTTAAAGAATTTTAAATTTTCTCTCCCAGTTATACAATCGTTCGATGTCCGTTTTTTGCAGTGATAGCTTTGTTGTTTACAAATGTACGCAGTTTACATAGTAGTCAGAAGCATGAACTTCTTTCTGGCTGGCACATGTTGACCCCCTCCTAATAAGTACAAACACAAACACAAATACTTGAATAATAGTAGTAAAAATAAAGGACACAAACTTTCTGGTCTCGATTGTAATGCATTTAGCTTTGGTCCTATACGACACCGAGTTTCAGTCATGCCCCATGCCGAAGGATCCTTTTCTTATTTTGTGGTCAAATTAATGCAGGGGGAATGGTGCGAGCTGCCAGGATGTCTGGAACTCGGTCCCGGTGCATGTATTTTTAATTAATTGCGTGCCCCGAGCCCTCCCTCTTCCTCAGCTGGGTCAGTCGAGTACAAGTTGAGTTGGTCTGGCCATTGCCTACCGTGACCTCCCAAGTGTATGTCGTCCTTCTTCCGCTTACGTTCCTCCTGCTGCTGTTTTCCATATAATACTTATATGAGTGAGACGATAGTGTGTCCTAGGCATGACAGAAAATATCGGTATATCAATGCTAAATCGATAGTTGTCAAAAAAGTCGACATTTTAGGTTGGCGCTAAATTTAAATGTTGGCGATAAATTATAATCAATATTTTGCTTAATATATCGAATCAATATTTTTGAGAAAACATAGTTTTTCAAATACTTATCGATATCGCTTAAATTAATTGCACTGTATTTCGATATTTAGAAGTCCGATATTTTCCAAATGAGTACTCTGCACTTAAAATATCGGTATATCAATACTGTACCGATGTTTAACAAAATCGTTGATGTTTTACACAATCGTCGATGTTTACACACTCGATATTATAGCTTTGCGATGAATTTTGAATAAATATGTTCTATATATATCGGATTAACATTTGTGTAAAACGACACAAGTAAATTAACAAACTTTTTCGTACATTTATCGATAATTGCAATATTTATCGATATTTAACATTTTACGATATTTTCTGCTTTATTTGGCTATTCTACAATCTTTCTCTACTGACTTTAACATACAAAATTAAACAACAATTTGATGTATAAATTCTTGGTGCTGCAGTCGTCGAATTTAAAGTTTCCATTTTCATCGTGTGTCCGATTTGACCGCAAAACCGCCGTCACCATCGCCGCTGCATCATTTGCGGTTAATTGTAGTTAAAGTTCAGTGGTGTGCCTGGAACTTACTCATGTGTGAGTCCCTTCTTCCACGGGCAACTCTCTCTTCGTGGCCAGCACCGCATAACGAAACACAGTGCGCATCCTGTGCGAGCTCAGCAGTTCGTGTTCATTATGTCATGGGGAAAGCAAACAATTTGAAATTTGAATTCGGTACGCCAAGTTCCCAGGGTTGTCGAGTCTTTTTCTAATTTTGAAAAACAAAATTATTTGTTGCATTAATACATAAAACGGTTGCCCCTGCAATGCCGGAAACAGAGCCCAAGTTGGTGTGCAGTCCCAGCAATGGTCTGCATCAGGAGGAAAATGCAGCCGTCATTGAAGCGGCTAATCGTCTAGTGATCCGATCCCCGACCCACAGGCGCTCTCAGCGCCAGCGCCCACCCCAAGGTCGGCGAGATGCCACCGGCTTTACGGCCAATCAGGAGGTGAAACTCAAAGCCGGCGATATGCGTATAGCCCAAATGCAGATCTGTATCTCCCAACTTCGCACCGAAATGGAAGAATCTACGAAACAGCTAAAGGATCTATGTAAAGCTATGCTTGTAGACGCGGAGTCTGGCTAAAATATGTTGAGATATATACTATTGTTATTGTTTTTAAGTAATGGAGTCAAAATTAAAGGTTACTTCTCAGGGAAATAAATTAGGGGATTGTCGAATATGGGACAAGTATTTAAAAGTTTAAGCAAAAACTAATCTGATATATGAGGAATGCTAAGACTAACTTTGAAGAGATCTCTGTATATTTTTGGTATTAAACTCTTATGATTCTAGCCCATTTAAAACCCCTTTTTAATCAATTTTTTGCTCTGCCATTAGAATTTAAATCACTAAAACTAAAATGTTCTTTTAAATGAAAAATGTTTAATATTCATTGCAGGCTGGATGGATCCCAAGCGAATTTCATTTTTGAGTATTAGCAATAAAGCCACCGAAGCTTTTTCGAGGCCCACAAAAAAGCATTCGGTTGTTGTTGCACAGGACTTGCAAGGAAAGACAGGTATATACATACATACATAAGTTGCATTCATATGTTAATATATTGAAACCCGCCCTTAAATCCCCATACATACATATATCGTGGTTTAATATCACGACCCCAAATCCCTTTGGCACTCGGACATTTCGAAGAAGGTGGTGGTGGGCGCATGATGGCTTGATTTAAATTAAAAATTTATTGCATATTTTTTTGTGCCCAACCCACCATTGCATATTGCCACTGTGTGTGTGTGCTTGGGTTCAGGAAAATAAAAAACAAATGTGCATGTATTTCTACTACATACATTCGCATGTGTGTTGTTGTGTATAAATTAAATTTGTGTGTGCTCGTGAACGCGCACAGGGCCAACAACCGGTAGCATGCCATGAACTCAAATTTCCAGCGCCAACGGGTTAAGGATGTGCTCGCCCGGGAAAACTGAAAGATAGAAAGGCACGGAGCGAGTCCTGCTGAAAGGCAAAAGGAGCCACGGCGGGTGCTTTGGTGAGTTAAGAGGGTCTGGCACTTCAGCAACCGTTTTGATTACTCGCATGTTTTCGCGTGCAACTAAATTAGCGCACGTGTAATCAAGTTCCTTGCGCTGAAACACAACGAAAAGCAAGGAAAGTATTACTACAAGAGTATATGTATAGTACATTCAAGCTCATATGGAGGTTCCGTCCTTTTTTGCACACTAAATCCCCATAAATTACCTCCGTCGCATAGACTCCGGCCGGTGCTCATATTTTCATTTTATTTTGTCGGCAGGATGTAAAGTAATTGATGTCCTCTCGGATGACATATTTTACTGAGCAGAAGAGTGCATTTCGGTTGACAAATCGTGGCAATTATATAGGGAACTATTTCAAATACTCAAATTAATAGGTTAGAAGCTGATCACATCTTCAGAAGTTGAAATTTCTTACATTCTTTACATTAACATGTATAAATTTACAAAGTTTAACTGGTTCTTAATTCGGCAAGAATTACCAAAATGCCATAAATTACCGTGTAACTCATTGGTAATATTACAACAAAATATACTTCTTCAGTTTCTAAAAAGGACGCGTTGAATACGAGATAATTTTTCCATTGATGTAAGCTCTGGCACTCAATTTCTGATTCACTGAGTACTCAAGTAGAGATCGAAATTTTCCAAGGGGTAAAAAGGATGGAAAGTCATCTTCGTTCATGGTCATGTTCTTTACTGCATACAGAACGTTCTGTAGAGAAATTAAGTCAGGCGAAAATCAGTAAAAGTCGGTATAGTTTACTTACAGCTTGAAACGGGCACTTGAAGCTGATATTGGAATATTTTTTCAAGTTTTTCGCATAGATGTTGAACAATCGGTTCTTATGAACATTTTGTAGAAAATGACATCCATCGAACTCAATATCATAGATGGTCATTTTTGGACTCTTAGCCTTCCAGAAATCAAGAGCGGCGTGTACCTTTAAATCTGTGACCGTCTCTCTAAAGATGTGACTCGTATCCACATAACTCCGATTGTCGATCTGGTAAAGTTCGCAATCAAACCTTTCAAAGACCTCTGGATCAACATTGCTCAGGCTGATGTTATCAAAAATTACTCGAAAGTTCCTTTCTTCGGTGATCACAAATTTAAATATGGGAAACAAGCAGATCCACTTAATCCAAAGGCTCATGGCTGCTCACTGCTGGCTGTATCTCCGAATCTACGCTCCGTTGATTTTATTTTGACAGAAAATGTTGTTTTAAGGTATATATAGGTATCATTAAAATGGTTTCATTTTCATATTTAATGGTATATTTATATTATTTAATCTTTACAATTAATATGTGTAAATAATTAGGCTCGCTATAAATTTTAACGACCCGATCGACGTCGAATAACACGGCCATGGATAATTAACTGAATAGCTTTGCGTTTATTGAGGCTTATGTGGCAGTCCGACTTGAAGCTGAGTTCTGGGGCATAGCTGGGTATAGCTTTCGTGTTGATTGTATATCTATTAATATAGTATAGTTTTTTCTTTAAGATAAATAAAGGAAATTAGTAGTCACATTGTGGGATAAGTGGGATTTTAAAGCATTATTTACCAACCATTTTAAAGGGGCATTGAAGAGGAAAGTTTGCGGACTTTCGCAGCTCATCGGCAATCATTTTTAGCAAGAAATGTGATTGTAAATCTGATAATGCCTTGCAATAGTCCAATTCTATTGCCGTATAGTTATTTTCGGATGATCCTCTTATAATGGAAAACATATAAATGCCTTTTATATCCTTTACATCTTTGGCCAATGTAAATTCGGCCGAAAATGTTCCATTGGATTGGGATGAATGGTCCAAATGACAGCTGAGATTGGTTACTAATTCCGGCAAATAATTCGGGCATTCAATTCTGGTGAAATAGGCATCTATTTTGATCTATAAAGTGATGGTTTGATTCATTATTAAAAATAATTTTTTAATATGTTGTCCTAACTTACCCTTGCCCACACGCAGCTCACACTAAGAACAAACAGAGCGCAAATTCTTTCGATGTTCATGGCAGTGGAACAACTCAATCAAAACTAAATTATATTTGGAGCGCACCTATTTTGTAACGAAATGTATATTTGATTGAATTATAATTAGTTATAAGTCAGACATTTTGTCAACTCGATTAGTCGATTGGCACTTAGCAAACACTAGTTAACAGAATTTTTATTTTATGAATATGCGAGTGTAATCGATAATGAAATAGAAGGAATTAATTATTTAATATGTGTGTTTAAGGACTTATGCAATACTGAAATATGGTTAAAAAAACACATAATTTTTTTTAAATCATATAACTTAATTTTAACAACTTTCAAAAAAAAATTTTTTTTTTACAATTTTTGGAAAATATACTTGCTAGAAGGACGAATTAGAAAAATCAATATACAAAGCCATACATTTTGAACCTGTTTGTATAAATATAATTAGTATAGTGCATTATAGAGAAAGTTATTAAAATATTAAACTGAAAATCAGTTTAGAGATCTGTAGTTTAAAAAGTGGTTTTGAGAGAGTACATTTATCTTAATCTCCATCTCGCTTGCACTCACACCCTCTTCCTATGATTAGTCAAGTTTCAACCCTTGGTTTCAAGCTAAGTTGATCCAAAATGAAACCTTTCAGGTAAAACTCCAGTAAGTTTCGAGTTTATTGACTTTTAAAGTTATAGATTAGTCCAGACTCTACAAGTACCGGATTATAAGGTAGTAGAACGCCTTGGTAGAATCTTTCCATTAACAACAACTCGAGTGGCCCTGCCTGTACTTTCGTTGATGTAAAACTCGGTCTGGCTTCGGAATCTTCCAATAGGAACAAATGCGGGAAAGTCGTTTTCATCCAAATATAGATTTTTTAAGGTGTAAGTGAAATTCTAGGATATACATTTTTCTCATTTAAAATTAATTGTTCTATTAAAAAAGATTATCGAAGTTAGCTTACCGGTTTCAGAGGACACTTAAGGTTTGAAAATTTTTTTAGGGCTTTTGCGAAAATATTAAAAAACCTGTTCTTATGAACGCTTCCTATGAAGAGGCATGCATCCAACTGGACATCAAACAGCTTCATAGCCTGACCGTTTGGTTTCCAAAAGTCCAAGGTAGAACGTGCCTTCATCTGACCAACATATGTTTTCACCAGCACTTGGCAATTAACATAGCTCTTATTGTCCATTTGTAGCACCTGGCAATCGAACTTTTCGATTAGGTCTGAATTAAAAATCTTAATGTTGACATCGTCAAAGGAGATGCGAAAGTTTCGATCTGCTGTGCTCACGCACTTAAAAATGAAAAGCCAGCTTATCCAGAGCCAAGTTTTCATGTTAAAGTCTAAACTTATAATGCTAGAACCTTGCTTAATGAGGTTTCAACTGGATGAGCAAGTACATAATTACAGAGGGGGATTTTTTATATATATTTTTCTCGTCATTAAATAATTCTTAAATTAGCTGATTGCGCTTTTTGATATATCCATATTATTTACGTTAGAATATTTGAATTGCCCATCGAGTCAATTTTTGAGCAAATCAATTTCAAGCTTGAATGCCACGAATGAGCGATTTATGTAATTTGTTATTATATTTTTATTCACCTATGCCAATAAAAGGTTTATTACTTAGCTCCCAAATATTTTGTCTTGTAGGAAATAAAAGATACTGTAGAACTTAAGGAAAATATTTTATTTTTACTAATTCAGATCATGAAGCTTTTCACGTATATATTAAGAATTTCATTCTGGTGAGCTGTTCTAAGAAATTCACAGGTATCCAACTGAACGTCATAAAGATTTATTTGCTTTTGATTGCTTGCCTTCCAAATATTCATAATGGTGTGCATATCTATGTCCCTGGCAACACATTTCAGCGTCATCTCGCATTTGACGTAACTCCGATTGATAAATATCAAGCAATTGGAAAATCTATGTTTTCTCTTAAATCCCGTACCTTATACTTTACGGATAATTTATCTAAGTTCACTCGAAAGCGTTGCTCTTCAGTATTTACGAAAATAGATAAGTTAAACCATAGAAGAAGGAATAAAGGACTCATGATCAAGGCTTTCGGCTATGAAGTCTAACATAATAAAAGACATATTTAAACTACCATGGACCAAGGCACTACATTTTGATAATTACATATTTTGCTCCAGTGAAGGGTATTCAATATTCAACCAGCAATTCGCAGCAAAGCTAACCCGGTTCAGTAAATGGTATTAATATTAATTAATTAAAACTTATACTTTTGTTAAATGAAAATATCATAATATTCACACGATTTTACAATAACGTTTAGCTACAGCAGCTAAATATATTAAATTAGTAATATACATACTTGGGCTTAAATTAAAGCTGATTCCTTAATAAAAGAAATGATTTATAATATAATGATTTATAATAAATGATTTATAATATAAACCATATAGTTGTGTACATAAAGTTCAAAAAATTAAAAAATTGTGTTTCTTCTTTAAAAAAGTTGCATATTTCCATAAAATCGTTTTCAAAAAGCTTAATAAAGAAAATAACACACACCCGAAAGCAACTAACTTGATATAAATTTTTAATAGGATAATTTATTATACCAATCTTTCATAATCTTAATCCTCATTATATGCATTTGATAACTACTTCGTGGACACAATTTCGCCACTAGTCACAAGATTTAAGGCCAATCTATTTTGCGTATAATATTTGGTAACGGTTCGAAATTGACCGATAGGCGAAAATGGTGGAAGATCCAGTTCGTCTAAGTACCAATCCTGCAACTTGTAGCTAAAGTTCTGGAAAATAATAATAGTTACCTTCGATACATTTTAATTTAAAAAGAAATTCAACAAACCGCTTTCAGAGGACAGACTAGGTTAACATTGGCGTGTTTTTTAAAGCTCTTCACGTAAATGTTAAACAATTTATTTTTATGGACACTCCGCAGGAAGGAGCAACCATCCACCTGAACGTCGTATAACTTTACTTTCTTTTGACGGTTGTTCGTTTTCCAGAAATCCATACTGGCTCGCACATTTATTTCTCCGATGTTCCGTTTAAGAATCATTTCGGCGTTCACGTAGCTCCGATTATTTATGTAATATAACTGACAATCCATCTTCTCGAACACGTCCGGCACCATGTACTTCATCGCGAACTCGTCAAAATGCACTCTAAAATTGCGCTCATCTGTGGAGGCAATGTTTATAAAGATGTACAATCCACAGATCATATACAATGTGTTCATGGCTAAAGCCTATTTTATAATGATGGCAACCGGATCTACAGACTCTTCTGACGTGAATTATTTATATAGTTATATATATAACATATATATAATTAAAGATGTCTAGCTTTGATATTGCTTTAAATGTTATGAAACAGACTATAAGTAATTATTATCATCATTCAATTGGAACAGGATTAGAAAACGTTGTCAATAGAAAGATGGTTTGTCTCTCCTATTTTTGATTATTTAAGAAAATGGAAATTAAATAGAAACATTTTTACATTATTCCTATTAGTTTTTATTTGTAAAACTTAACATTTTCGCCTTGTCAGCATTTTTGTGGCTAACTACACATTCCTGGTTGACTAGCCAGCAATTAAAGTAGCCATTGAACCTCCATAAATCATGGCCCAAATACTGCAAATAATTACCCATGAATAATAATCGTTGGTTCTTAATTTTTGTTTGCTGAATTTTATGCTCACAGAATTCGAGAATTTCAATTTGACCTTCCGACCTTGGCGACCAAACGTCCATCGAGTTGCATGTGAGCCAGTAATTTTGATTTCTGTTCAAAGGTTGCTCTAAATCGATAGGTGCATTCTGGAAGGAGATCTGGTAGTAAGTCTTCGTCGACATAGGCCCTTGTCAAGGAGTAGTTAAAGTTCTATTACGATAGAGAAAAGTTTAAATCTGAATTTGAGTACGTTAAGTATTGGCTTTAACTTGTTAAGGGATTACAACAATTCGTTAAAGATATTTACAAAACTCACCGGCTTTAGTGGACATTTCGGTTTGGTGTTAAGAAAGCCAGCATAATTATTATAAAGCGTTCTAATAAACTTATTCTTGTAGCCATTATTGAGGACGGAGCAAAAGTTAAGCTTGACAGTATAGAGACGCATTTCCGGTCGCCGGGGCCGAATAATGTCCATTGTGGATGATAGGGTGATATCATTTACAAGCCGGTTAATCAGCATATGTCCAGAGAGATAGCTCCGATTCTGTTCCTGTTCAAGAACGGCGCTCTGGGACAGGAACAGGGCGTGATCGTCGACGGTGAATGTGAAGCGATCCAAGAGCACTATGTGGGCACAGAGACAGCTGTCGGGTATCAAACTGAGAACCAGAAGGTTCAACTTGAGGAGTGACATTCGAAAGGCGGTTTGCTGGGCTACCGGATAACAGACTAACTACGGACTAACTGCTAATGGGGGACTCCATTGTGCCTGGTCCCAGGCAATGCCCCGGCAGATTGAGCCCTAATGGCTTTTTAAATGGTGCCGTCTGGTCTAAATTGCCGCAATCTCTCAATATGTCAACAATACGTATTCATATACGCATACAATGTTTTTTTGTTAGTAATTTCTTCTTTATTTTTCCTTGGTCGCTTTCAAAAGTGAAAACAAATTGCACACAAGTAAACTGAAAATTGTTCACTGCAAAGATCGAGTGGAGTAGGCGGCTGATTGCATTAAGCAAAATACATATGTAGTAAAATGGATAACGAACACAAAGCCAGAAAAAAGTACAAAAGATTATACTAAAAAGGGCTCGACTTAAAAGTTACTTTTAAAAATACTCACACATACATATTTTAATGGAAACCAGAGCGTGCATCGTAAATGTAAAAATAAAAAAAAATTGTAATTTAAAAGGTTCCTTTAGTCCAATATTGTGGTATAGTTTTATAAATTTTACTGAAGAAGGATGGTTGATCGGAGCTACTACTGATCGGTTTTAATTTATAGGTGAATACTTCTTAGTAAAAATGGATTGAAAGTAAAAGAAGACTAATAAGTATTAAAGACAATAAGAATGTAATTTTGGTTTTAACATAGTTGATTTTTTAATTAAAAAACAAACTATATAATATTAATTCAAATTTTAAGCATGAAGCATTTTTAAACACTTAGAAAATGAAGTTTCACCATCAACTTCTTATCAAATTCGGGCAACTTCATTGTGTTGCGATTGTAACAAAATTACAATATTGATAAATTAATAATTAAAATGTGAATGTGTAAAAACCTAATGGTCGGCAAATATTATTCCTCTCTTAGAACAATTAGGTGTGATTACATTTCCAGATGTGTAATTTTAATAGCTATTATCTTGATGTAAGTGTATTGAATTTCCGTTGTCAAAAGATATCTCAAAAGATTTTAATTAGAAATATCAATGCGCTTACTGTACATAGTGTTGCACAGTGGACGCTTTTGCAGAAACGGCGTTAAAAAAGTCACATCTTAAAAATGGATAAAATATTTCCAAATACAATATATTAGATTTAATGCATGATTTAAGACTCAGTTTCTACAAAAATGGTTGGTTTTTATCATTTATACATATATGTTCATTTATACTCAATAAAAACATTTTGATGTTTTTTTTTTTTATTAATTTTTTTATATGGAAAATAGTTTTGAAATTGTCAAATTCAGGCACATTTTGTAGTAGCCATTTGAATATGATTGAAGCAAAAATCGTAAAGTAACAAATAAAACTTAAAGGTTTTTAAAAGGACCCATAAAATTTTAAGAAATTTAAAAACAAGCAAAATTATGAATTTGTATTTGGCGGACAAGATAAGAAGAACTATGGTAGAAATACGACAAAAAGACAAGAGTTACCGTCAGAAATAACCAAATATAGAAGAAGAATACGGAAACTAACTTTTTGGCCAGAAACTTGTATCACAGGAGTTAACAAAATAATCATAAAAGGATTGAAAACAATTAGTTGAATGTTTTAAGCTGTAAATAAAAGTGAAATTTAAAATTAGTTAAAATTTTTAAATATGCGGAAGAGGAAACTTTGCACAGAAATACTTATGTATATCAACAAAAGCAAATTAAACCCACCAATTAGTAAATATTAACAAATTTATTTAGAATTTTTTTTTATTTAGAAAATGGATGAACAATTATTTATCTCTCTTGACTCAAATGTTTACTAACTTTGCTGCAATAAAAATTCAAACGCTCCACTGTGCGACACCTTGCTCATAGCACGGTACATTTCCGTGAATCTAAGGATGCTGGCGCGAGCTCATGTGTGAGGCGAAAAAGGATGCAAATGGGTCTGGCTGCCAACCGAGGCATAAACAGTAGCCTTGCAACAGTGCGGCAAAGAGCAGCGGAGTGGAGCGGAATGAAGTAAAGAAAAGTAAAGCAACGCAAGCGGCCCAGTCGAGTGTAGTTCAAACATAACACCTACCGTCTGGGATCTGGAGAGTCTCGACTCGTCTGCGGATGCTGTTGCTGTGGTCCGTATTATGTAAACATTTGCCGGGCTTCAATCTTTATTATTTCCCCTTTCTGAGCGAGCACCTCAGGTTCCTCAGGTTCCTGGCTCTGCGTTTTGTGGACTTCTGTCTCGACAAGGCTCTCAATCGAAAACGTGTGTCAGCTTTTACATGACACTACGACATTTCGTTTTTGGCCATGTGAAAATTGTAGTGCCAAGCCAATCTTAAGGGTAGTTGTTTTATCCTTAACAACGAATCGATTTAGACAATTGTCTACAAACTTCTGCTTGTACAGAGTAAACTTAATCAACTAAATTATTAGATTATTCATTTATCACATAGCAGTAGGTATCATTTAATTCAAATGTCACATAAGCAGACACTTTTTGACATTAATAGAATGACGATCTTTTATGCGTGGTGGTTAGCTTGAATATTGTTATTCAAAAGCAAGAAAACAAACTAATTTTCCCATTTTCATACACACGCCAATTTCCGTAAGTGACCAATTTGTCCGCGTGCAATTAACACAACCTATCTGTGTGCATACAGGACCACAAAAAGAAGCATCTAATGGGAACGGTACCAAACTGCAACTTGCGTTGCATTTTAAATATGAAGGTGCATATATTATGCAAATCTGTGCAATTTTCATTCATGGCCCTCTATATACATATATGATTGGACGAGCCACAAACCGAGCACTGGGCTGAGCCACAGCGAGCGCCAGGCCTTAATTAGACTTTGTGAGCGTGTGAGGCTCATTTCGTATGCAAATTGCAGTCGATTGGTTTCGCATTACATAATTAATAATTCAATGGGAAGGCTTGTCAATCACACGCACGAATACGCCAGCCAAGGAACCCACACAAAGGACGTGTGCATTTTCCATCGAGCTCTGGCCAAAAGGTCTTTAAAAGGCTTGAAATAGTTGCATTTCGGGTGTGAATATTGGCCAGTTGCATGAACAGTTTGGTAATGGGTTCAATCAATTATTTGTGTGAACTAAAATTCCTTTTGAATATTATAGGAGTTGGAAGCCGGTCGAACCATAAGCTTACTAATTGATTGTTGATGTTACAAAATAAAAGTTGAATGCCATTCTTACGGAATTTAATGGAAACCTTTCACCTAATTCGTTTATATCATTTAATTTTTATTTTAAATTAAAAATCTGGCTCTCTCTAAGACACGGCTTAAGATACATAGATATTATTTATATACTTTATATGGTCACAAATGCCTGATTTACTGCGTTGAAAACCCCTTGCAAGGTTAACTATAAATATATCTATACGTGCAAAATAAATTTAACCAAAGCAGCCAAAAATGCTAAATTTAGTATAGAATTCAGTATAAACCCAATAGGTTAACGGCTGGTTTCATATGGCCTTATGGTATATACGCTTTTATCGATATATACGGCATGGCTGGGCCTATTTGTGCAATCAATAAATTTTACAGCCGATTGCACAGATGCTGCCATCGACAATTTACGTATCTGGGGGCGGATGCATTGGGAGTGCCAGTAGAGAAGAGGAAAGTCAACGTTTCCGAGGGAATTTGCACACTTTTTGGATTAGAAACTAAACTGAAATTAAAAATTTCTTTTCTCCTAAAAAATCGTTGCCTGAATTGATGCCACGAATTTTGGTTAATGTTTATTATTCAATTACAAGCACGACAGGCGCTAAAGCTGTTGACAAAATTGTTTCACAGCTGCACTGCGACCGTGGACCACCCCCTTCATGAAAATCTGCGAGTCTGCAAAAACTCGTTAAAAATCACTTAGAATTCAATCATCATAAATTTGTCAAAAATGTACTCTATCATTCAGTCACTAGCTTAGGGCGAAGCTTTAACGTGTCGGCTTTAGTGCTCTTTTTTGTCTATTGTAATGCACCCCTTTTTTATAAACCACGTTATACACGTTGCCTCCAAGGATATATTTTACATATATTGTATTCTCTAAATGTTGTATGTTTGGGATGCTTCTTCTTTGACACACTTAGTGTGTTTGTTTCTCCAGCAGCATCTTGGCGACACTTTATGCAGCTTTAACGAGTGAACCACATAAAATAGACTCTATACCCTTGTAGAGGTATTATAATTTTAGTCAGAAATTTGCTGGAAAGTGTATATTTTGCGGTATTTCTTAAAGTAATGGGAATATAAAAAACGCGAATACGAAAATACATACTAAATGCATACATAAATCACACATCTTCTGCTCCGTGCATTTAATTTTTGAGAAAAATAACTGCCAAAAACCGATAAACTCCAGCAAGACAAACGAGTTTGCCTTTAAGAATGTTCGTCGTGGAAGTTTTCTTATGACAGCCTTTAGTTTATTACTTATGGGTTTATGTTTTCGTCAGTTGACCGAATGTTTAGTTTAGCGTTGGTCGCAACAGCAACAGCAGGGTAGACTTCCACGGACCCGTTCGTCCCACCAAAAACCATTCATACCCCGAAGTTTACAGCTTTTTGTGGCAAGGTCTTCTAAGCCGTTGCTCGACGGTGACTTCCATTTTTGGCAACAGAACGCAGCTAAAAGTTGCTGCAACGGCAAAAGGCGAGGACAAAAAAAAAAAAAAATAACAAGGAAGTAAAAGAAAATTCGCCCTAGGAAAAAAAGCAATAACAAAATATTATTATCAAAATCATTCATCATGTGGCTGCAGGCAATAAATTTTGGGCTCGCTCCCAAATGCAGCAGCAAAAATAACGGCGGCGTGGAGGAAGAACTACAATTATTGTGGCAGTTGTAGGTAAAGGCCTCAGCTAACTGTTAATAAATCGCAGTGCCAGATATAAGCGAGCAGTTACTGTTGGTTGGCACTGTGGCGCCGCCCCAGCCCCACTCCATGACACCTTCATCTGCCTCACCGCAAAACGCATTAAAGCATTTAAAACCCGAAACTAACTTTAACTTTAAACTAGTCATAGCCGTAGGAAAATGCAAGACATTAACAAAACACTTTTCAAATATAATAGAGAGAGAACAAGATGAAAGTAGTTACTGCTAAGAATTTTTCAAGCTTAGCTGTTTACTTAGTTTTACATTTGCACAGTATCAAGCTCTTTCATAATAGGCATAATGATCGATAAATAAAAAAAACTTAATACTATTAAATAAGGTAAAGTTTCACCGAAGGTACTCTGAAAATTTCACAACAATCTTATGATAAATATGATCATTTTTGAAAAACAAAGTTCTTTTATTTCCAATTTTTTTGAACTAGGCGCCAGATGCTTAGTTTCAGCTGGGGCGATCATTAATTAAAGTTTTTATTCTTAATATATTTGTTTTCTGAATTTAGAGAATGGTCTGAAAACGCAATTGACTTTTAATTTAATGCACAAACGCTAGGATAGTAGGTATTCTCCAGTCGAGCATACTCTACTGTACCTTTCCTTCTTTGTCCAACATCAGAAGTTTTATTTAAACCTATTCATTTATCTTGTTTTAAATAAAAAAAAATATTACCTTCTTTTTTTTGTCAACTCTTTGTATGAATTCATTAGCTTTCGCATTTTATAAACAATACAGTTAGAATACAATACGTTTAAAATAAATTACAAACAAAAATAAAGTAAAACTACTAATATAATTACATATAAAATTAGTAAGGTAAACTGTCAAATAGTTTTTTTTTTAACATTTAGAAAGTATGTAAAAACTTTAAAGATTAAAATTAAAACAATTCTTATTCTCTTTTCTATACAAATACAACAAAATATACATGTTCACATTATCGACACACACATTTTGTATGCTAAATGGTCTATTGGCCAAATGTGTGCACAATGTCCCCTGGCAGGTTTTGGGGGGGTAAGAGAAGGGCTAGCACAGTGGGGACGTTACCCCGGCAACTGATTCCCAATATTTGTATAACCGAGGCGGCTTTTGGGACGCACCACCGCCTCCAATGAGCCACGGACAAGCGAAACGAATTAACCGGCGATTGCTCATTTGCTATCGCCGAGGAGTGCCTTTGTCACATTCCATCCAACGGAGGACGGAGTGCCGAGAACGGCCATGAATTTTGCATTTCAGCTTGCCTGTATATTTAGCTGGCTCTGCCATTGGGCAGAGGCCTGTGATTCATCAAAAGAGCGGCGACAGCTGACAGGCGACAGCTACGCATAGAAATGAATTATAAAAAAAGAGAAAAAAAAACACCAGATAGACAATGGGGCAATACAGTCACCTCAACCCTTGGGGAAACACCTGAGGCGGTGGCTCCGTCTACGCGAAATGACTACGCTGATTCTTTATTAGTCAAACCCCCGAGAACCAGTCGACAAAGGCAATGAACGCTGCACAGTGGGGCCAATTGCGCGTGTTTTTTGTCCAATATTAATGTCGTTTAAAATTATTTTCTTAAATCCTAAACTTATAAACATTGCTTCAGTCATCCAATAAATAAATCAATTAATTTGATTAAACAATAATAGTAATAAATTATATTTTTATATATTCTTTAAATGATTTTCCCAACGGTTTTATTCTTTCGAAAACATTATCCGAACGACGATTTGTTGCCTAGTTCTTAAAATTTCTCTTAAACTAGAATCTTGTTTCCAGTATAAAAATTTTGAAGCCTCACATAAATTTATTTTTGCAATCTAATTTTTTTCTACGGGCTCCACTGTGCATAATCTTTTATATCTCAAAGATATCTTTTAAGACGTAAAACAATCTTAATGTTAAATTTTTGGCTTGTACGATTTGGTTTGGTATATTTTTTAATCCGTGCTCATACGGGAATTATAGATACAAATTTGGAATGCGATATATTTTACATTCTTAAAAAATAAGAAAAATATGTTGGTTTTTTATAAGCATATGGTACCTCATAGTGGAGGTACTCGACCAGAGTGTTCAGTTTTTTTTTTTTAAATATAATTTTCACATCTGCCTCCGATTAAGTACTCAAAGTTCTCATGTATGTATGTATGTCAGTATATATCGTATACAGGGTACCACAATCCATTTGTATATTGTACATATGAGCATGCATCCCTACATATGTTCAGTTATACAACATTTTGCGGATCGTTTAACTTAATTTGTATAGATTCGCTTGGCATAGCAACACTGCAAAACCATACATTGTAAATATGTACATACATATGTTTGTAGATCATTTGTTATGCCTCATCATTCTGATCAGAAAATTCACGCTTGTATGTACATTTTACACATAAAGAAATCATTTGAATACGATTTTAAAAACAAGCTGTGTTCAACAAAAGTTCGATTGAATGTGATTTTAAAATTAGTTGTATTCTTTAATTACTATAGTAGACAATCAATTCAATGCTTTAGTTTAGTGAGTTTTCACAGGTGTTTCAAAAAATAATCTATTTTGACTTAAACAGTTCTGTGCGCTTGACTATAAGATACCCGATATCCCAAAACGTTGTGTTTTAAACGAATTTTCGAATCGATTTTAAAAACAACGGGCAGTACACGAAATATATTTTTTAGAAATGGATGAAGATATGTTATACAGCCAATAGCAATACTAGAAGACTGCATTTTTATTTGAAGTTGAGATGTAGATCGATTTTTTGTCCCACTGTCGTTCCCTATTGTGTTAACTTAACTGGGTCCTGGACCTGATAAGTTTTTTGTTATCGGCTCGAAAAAATTATGAAGATTTATCGACACAGCTGTTCGGAGGGGACAATGGTGGGTGTGTTTGCGCTTTGCAGCACATTTCAGTCCTTAACATCACGCTGTTATACCCTATCGTTTAGATAAATTATGGGCGCGGAGAATTATCATGTAGTAAAGTAAACAAAATTGTAAACTAAACCTATGCAAGATATTAAAATATTTAATTTCAAGTATATAAATTATCGTATTTATCTTTCAGTGTATGTAGAAGCACATGCCCACACGCTTGCCACATTTTTTTTTAGGTTTTGGCTTGCTGCCTTTTGGCATTTGCCTCTGACGCTCGAATGGCTTGCCAACATTATGACAAAGTTATGATACTCTTTCCTGGGAAAGCCCCTATGTATGTACCTTTGTACATAGAAGAGCCAAAGTGTGTAGCAAAAGTCAAATCCAACCCAAAAACGCAAACACTCAATACAAAAAGTGTTATATATGAGTGAGCAGTGCAGGCTGAACGGGCTACAGATCTTTACAAATAACTTTATCATCTTAAAATTTTCAACGTTAAACTTGATAAAAATATGAGAAATAGATCTTGAATTGTTAAAATTTAGACATACAAATAATCGTTTTTTTTATATTTTATATTTATATAATTTTATATAGATAACTTTATAAAAAATAAAATAAATAGTAAACGCTGTTAAGATGATTTTCAATGCCATCCTAAAAACATTTTACATTACTCAAATTTCAAGGCCCCCTCTTAATAATTTCCATGTGCTCCCATGTAAGCAACTAAATACACTACCGCCCCATCCACCCGTCCCACTCACTCTTCTAACAACAATCGCACCGATTACGTTGTCGTATAACGTTTGAAGATGACGCGTGCTTGTTGTTTTTGCTGCCACTGCCAGACGTACTGGCTCTGCTTCGCTTTCCACACTTTCGCAGGGAACGGGTAGGGGGCGGGTGGTGATGAAGACTGGGAGAGTGAGAAGGTGCGGCGACATTGAACAAGGCAACGAACGGCAAGAGAGTCGCGTTTGCCTTTCTGATAACGTCGTCATCGTTGCGTTGAGGCAATTTTAATTTATGCATCACACGGATACAGAAACACACACAGCCAAAGCAGAAGCGATGGCACCAACAACAATCAACTCTCAATTGCGCTGCGACTGAGTTTTTTTAAGCTCAACACATCTTTTTTGCACTCTTTGCCATTGTTGTTTCTACACTCTTGTTTTCGGAGTATATGAACTAGAAGACAATCCTTACACTGCAAGATCAGTATTTAGAAAACAAGCTAGGAAAGTGGTTTGCAGGCATTCATTTTTAATTAATTTATGGAGATGTCCTGATATGCAGGAAAAATCTCTAAGCCTTTCTCTGATATATTCTTTTTATAGTATGTACGTATATTTGTCGCTTACATAGGTTAAGTGGTACCTTATAAGCGTAGTAAACACTAGCAGCCATCTCCCATTAAAAAATCAATAAATAAGTATATAAATATTTTCCCAACAGAATCAAGTAACTTTGGAAATAATTTTCGTAAAATAAGCAGCAAAGTTTTGCACCAACCGATAATTGTGAGAGTGTCCAGCTGTCGAACTAGGCCACTGTGCAAGTCCCCCTGCTTTTGCCTCGCTCACTTATGTAAACGCTGCTCGCTCGCTCTCACGCTCTCTTTCTGGCTCTCTCGTTTCAGCAACAACGATCGGCGCGGGCGCTGCAGTTGGACGACTCGTTGTAATACCCTCTGAAAGGGTAGGAAAAAGCTCAGTCAGATTTTGACAGTTGACATCGCGAGACGCTCGGGCGCACAGAAGCAACATCGACTCGACGGCGACGCGTCGCTCGTTGCAGCCGCGCTGTCGCGTTTTTTTTAGTTTGATTGATTGCGATTATGAGCGAGACCTTCAAGCTGTCCGGAATGCAGCGCAGCAATATCGAGTTGGAGCGTCGGCGGCACCTGGCCAACTGGCTGTTGAATAGCAGTCCCCACATGGCTGCCGCAGCCGCATCATCAGCAACACCCACTGCTGCAGCAGCAGCACCCACTGTTGCGGCACAAACAACAAACACTGGCTCAACAGGAGCGGGAGTGGGCGGTGCAGCAGCAGCGGGCGCACCCAGCAACAGCGTCGCAGCTGCATCAGCAGCTGCATGTAACGGTAAGCTTTCGGGGTGGGAGAGAAACGGGAGGGTCGTCAAGCGGGAGAGGGAGAGGGACACAGGCACGCGCTGCAAACAAGCGAGCGAGAGACAGAGTGAAAGAACGTGAACGAGCAAACGAAAGAGTGAGTTTTCTGTTTGCTCATTGACGGCGCGGTGTTAGCTTTTGAATGCTCTTCCCATGAGGTATCTTGATTTTGGTATGCCGTCTGCGACAGTATACAGATTTATCTGCTAGTGATGCAGAAAACGGGTTATCACTTTTGTAAATATAATATTAAATAGAATTTACATACATTCATTAAATTTTAAATTGTATATTTTTATTTGTTTGTTTTTTTATAAGTATTTTTATATACTATTGTCGTTTGTTTTTTATTTTTAATGCAGACCACGAATAGGTTAGGATATAATTTTAGTCCGAAGTTTGCAACTCACCAAAGGAGTGGTCTCCGACATTATACATATGTACATAGATTAGTTTAAATTAAACCGAATCAAGAAGACTAACTGAAAAGATAAATTTAGATAGCGTAAAAATGGACAGGCGAGCATGGCTAGATCGACTTGGCTGTTGATGCTGATCAATATGGTCGGAGATGTGTAATTCACAGCGTTGCAAACTTCCAACTGAAATAATAATACACTGCAAGGGTACAACAACAAAATAAACAGGATTTCAATAGATATACATATATATAATCAAATTGTAGGAATTTGACCTAAGTAAACCCGGATTAAAAAAATTTAATTTATAATAAAATTCTAAAAAAAAAAATATTTTGTATCTTAATCTTAATCTTACAGATTTTTTTAAAACTATGTATATTTCTCAATATTATAGTTTTTAATTTATGAAATAAACCCTCCAACGTCTGGATGTTATTGTTTGGTCAGGGTATTTAAACCTGGGAAATCCAGTTTTTTCCTGTCCTACTGATTTTTTGCGAATTGAAGCGAAATTTGTTGCCTAGGCGCGCGCCTTTCTTCGCGTAATTTCACACGAAACGTGACGATGGCACACTCCCCACCCAGTCTACCCCCTCTGTCTCTATGCCGCTCTCTTTCCGAGCATGTTCTCCGCAATTGATATTTCACAAAAGATAAGCGCAATTTCACAAAACGTTTTAGCTCCTTCCCGGCGTTATGCTGTGATTTTTGCCCTCGTCTGCACTTACTGTATTCAATGTGTGCGTGGGGCAGAAATTAAGCCAAATGTGCGCAATTAAAGTGAGTAATGCCCCGCCGACCACCAATCAGCGGCAGCAGCGCACAGTGGCTCGTTTTAAAATCGAAATTTCAAGTTTGGAGTCAATTTTTTAGTGCATATCACACCAAAGCATATAAAGTGATTCATCCTAAATTATCTGAAAATATATCTTAGACTGTATCTGACAAGATTTTTGTGGGTTTATGTCTAAAGTCTCTGCGGTTTGTTTTACTTTGTTCATACCGGGCATAGAGGTAAGGAGCTACTGCGCAGCGAGTTATATTCGCACCATGGGCTACAGTCAAACAATAACCAATCAAAAATCGCGATATCTATATTTAATTGCACCCCTTGAAGTTCACTCAAACCATTTGAAAAAGGCTGAGTGATTTCATGACAGACAATGACTTTTTTGGATTTCGGTATGAAAACAAAATTGTATTCAATAGACTATGTTCGTTACCCATGGAGGTGTTATCTTTATTGTTATGTCTGGGGAGCGGGGAATAGCTATTAATAGTTTCCAGTTGTTGACGATATCCGATCCGATTTGATGTTTGCGATTGTTCAAGTATCTTAGCTCGAAGGTTCTTCCTCAATATTAATCAAAGTGCATTGTAAACCTAACAAAATCAAGAAGAAATAAAAAGAGAGCAAAAATATTTTATTTGGCTTGGTTTTTAATAAAGTAAGACGTTTTATTAAAAAAAAACTCGTAATTTTTCATGGATTTTAAAATGGTCAATAAATCCAAGTATTAAACGCGTCTTAAATCAAACGAGCTCTTTTATTGCTTAAATTAACCATTAAATTTCGTCATAAGCACTAAATGAATACCGATTAGCTATTAATTCATTAGAGTATACATACATACATACATGCTCGCTCAGCCAAAAGTGTGTGAGAAGCTGTGCAAAACTTGAATAAAAACGTATTTGATTAGCTGACGTAAAGTGCAAAGTCGAGAACCTTATGGTTTTTTGTGTGCATCGTTGTTTTTAATTCAACATTATTTCAATTAAATGTTTTTTTTTTAAAGGAATCTATTCTAGAATAAAAACAATGTTGTATTATATGGGATTTAAAATATGAAACGTAAACCCCTTTGAGAATCATAAATAACACTCAATTTTCTTTAAATGGTGCGTTTTAATTCTTTGTAAAAATCGAAGTGTTTAGATATTTATTTTGTTTAAACTTCTTTTTATTCATTTTATATTGGTTTTCCTTCGTATATTTTTCTTAATTTTGCGGTTACGCTTTGTAGTTATATTCGCCCACTGTGTGTCATCGCCTCGTTGACCGCTGACTGAGAATTAGCTGCGCTTAGCAACAGTTTTGAACCACTTGCCTGCCGTTGCGTCACGCCAACTGAATTTCGCTCGGGGTCTACAGATGTGGCTGTAGATGTGGTGGAAGCGATACTACTACTACCTACTGTTTGCGGGTTTTTCCCACTGCAGACTTCGGTGGCAATTAAACACTTACATGTGCATACACCTAGGTGTGCATTTATATTTATGCGATTGCCTCACTGATGCACAATGCCTTACTCCTCGTTGCGTTTTTTATTGCAGGTGGTACCACGACGGGCCCCCATCACGGCCACCACCCTCTGGGCGGTGGTGCCGGGGCGCGGAAGCCCAAGCTGCGGCGCTTCAACTCCCACGATACCAGCTCCAACATGTTCTCCGTGGCAGAGTTCGAGAACGCTCGCCTGGCCCGCCGCAACGAGATCGAGCTGAGCCAACGACTGGCGCGTCACCTGCGGAGCAGCGCCAAGTGGGACAGTGTAATATCGGGATCGGGGTCAGGACCTAGAGCAGCAGGTGGCTATTCAGGATTCTGTGGCGGCCTCAATGGCAGCGGCGATTACTCCACCGGGGACAGCAAAGACTCCAAGGGCAGCAACGAAGTAAGTTTTCATTAGTATTATATTATATTATCAGGGGTGTCATTAAAATGATTATTTTGCATTATATTTTTGAAATTACTTTAATCATACTAAAAATGTTGACTTCTTTGGTTTTTAGTCGCAGCAGGAAGCACTGCCCGCCGATGTGTTTCTGGAACGGAATACCCTGCCTCGTGTTGCCCGCATCTTGCACACGAGCAAGAACTCCAACGAAACGCTGCAGTCCAGCTCATCGCACGGTTCGTCTACGGCAGCTTCAAGCAGCTCCTCTGTTGAAGCTAAACCGGTGGTCAGTGGTGTAGGAAACATATCCACTGGCACAGGCACAGGCACAGGCACTGGCACTGGCACTGGCACTGGCACCGGCAACCATTCATCGTCCAGCGGAGGAAGTGTCTCCGGAATCGGAAGTGGCTCTGGTTCTGTTCTTGGTCCTGGCCACCAAAGCAAAAAGAGTCAAAATAGCAACAACGGTGGCATGCCGCCCGCCCACGACGAGCTCTTTTTGCTCTACAGGCTGGTGCGTCAGCGGAACATCTACCACGGACACAATGCCAAGTCACAAGCAGCCCAGCGAAAGAAGACGGTGCTCATTCCACAGGAGTTTTCGGGTGAGTTAACATAAGTGGAATTTGTAAACTTAACTTAAAATATAAATATAGAATATTATATTAAATTGTATTTTGCGTAGGCCGTTAAAAGTTGAAACTTACGTCAGGGTTATGGGTCAGAGAGAATTATTAAGATATATGTATATATGTATATAGTTGGGTAAAATTCCTATATCTTAGGGTTGAGCCAACTGACCCTGTGCCTCGTGTGATTAACTTTCGCACTTCTGTTTACTGACTACTCACAGATACTTTTGTTCTCATGACGAATGCAGTTAGGCACACAGAAGTGCCGGATTATATATGGTCTAGTCGTAACTAACTCATTTTCTGACTCATACAGGCAAAGTATTATCTCTTGGTAGGGTTACTGAAAACTATCTTTGAGTGTATTGCGCGAACTTTGTTGTTTTTTTGTTTCAACTTGCGTGACACAGTCACAGTTCAGCAATGAAAGGTAATCGCAACTTTTGTTCATTAGGCGTTATGTAATGAGACCAATATATAAGGGTTACCAGTGCCGGTGGTAGTCAACCAGTCAACAGTTGTGACTTCTTCGGAGGCCCATCATCACCCACATCCTCCTTCCCCCGAACCGCGGTCAGGCATTGTTTCAACCCGCGCTACGCCATGTGACTTTTCACAGCCACTCGGCGAGGCGCAAAGTAAGCCGAATGTGTGCGAATATTATGCAATTCGCCAATTTATAGACTTAGTGAGCTCGGTATTATCATTTTTACACCTGGTATCCATGGGGTGGAAGGGTATTATAGTTTGGTGCCAACAAAAATGTATGTGGCAGACATAAAATATGTATATTCTTGTTCAACTTAATTATAAATGTAATAGAATTTATAACTATACACATAAAGATTGATTTAAAGTTGAGACATGCGTAAGTAACAATCGAGATATCTCAATCGCGTGTCTTAAATAGTTTAACCGTTGGACTACCAACTGTGACGAAGCAAAGTAAACCTTTTTTTTTTTATTAATTTGTAAAAATAATTTTCATTACTGTTCAAGGTGATCGAAGTCGTAAAAAAGTTTGTAATTTAATCGGCAACGTAAGTACTTATGTACCGGGTAAATTACAAACGATCAACTCGGCTCTAGCTCTTACTGGTTTAATGAAGCCTAATTAGAAGAAAATTAATAAAATTAATAAAGAGTGCACCGAAGGACTTCCCCTGCATAACAATTTTTAAATTGATTTTTTTTACTTTTAAATTTTGACTTAGTGTTAAGCACCTAATCATTTTCAAATTCTAATGTCCGAAGTACTAGCATTGAAATTTGTACCAGACAACAGCTTTGAAATGTTTAGTTTTTGGGTTATTTTTCAAATTGTGGTTTGAGGATATCAGTTATGGAGACGTGGTCTTGTTTAGCAAAAGAAATTGTTCTTCAACAACTTGATAACTTGCCAAAATTTGGGTAATTTCTTTCTATTATTTATAGGGCAAAATTGCGTTATACAGTGGATATCCATTTTGATGTTGTTCATCAGATGTAACTTCGGCTGTATCCTTTTTATCACATTTTCAGTATATTTTATTATTTTGTAAATACAATGTTCTATCATGAGTTAGTAGCTTACAGTGTTGAAACGCTTATACAAAAATACATCTTTGAACAATGTTCGTATTTGTAGATGCCAAAAAATGTATTAATGGCATCAGTACGTCATTCTGCTTGTATTATTTGTATTGTAGTCATTTTTGGATAGAACATGGTGAATGTACTATGCATCGTATTCAGTGCATGACCTTCAGCTGTCGAAAATAATGGATTTCAGATTTTAGCAAACAAGCTGAAACCAAAATATCTGTCCTTGTAGAAAGTGTTTTCGAAATTATTATTAGAAAATTATTCCACAAATTTGATGTAATGTGAATTTCCAAAATATTACGAGATTATTGTGACGACTTAAATCTTTAAATGTATAAAATAACTTATGTTTATTAGATTTTACTATTGGTCTAGGGATTTTAAAAAGTATAAGTATAAGTATGTATAAGTATTTAAACCGATATTTTAACATTGCTTTATATGTGCGATTATCGATATTCTGTTTGTTGTATCCGACTGTATCAAAACAGTGTTTAAAAAAACAAAAACTTTAGTATAAAGAGTTTATTAAAAATTGTTTTGAATATGTTTTAAAAATAGTCGAAAAAACAATAATCATTTTATTAATATTGGTCTGTTTTGTTTTTTCATGATACCGGTATTTTAAAGTTAAATGCGATATTTTTCGATATGTTAAATTTCGATTAACGATATTTTTATAAGATAACGATTTTAATAGTGCTTAATTTGTAAAGAGCAACTAACTTGAAATAATTGTATTTAATCATTTTAACCATTTCTTATTTGTGCAGGTTACTTTTCACTGCTAAGCGAGAAGGGTTTGCCTACGGCCACGCAATACGGTTCGCTGATGCAGCTGGTGCGGGAGCGTGTGTACAAGTTTGCTTCGGTGGACAATATGCCGGCGTTTACGGAATCGTCACCCAGCACTAGTGCCACTAGTCCAACTCACGAGGGTTGCTTACCCATCATCATTAAGGGACGACCGCAGTATATAAAGACGACGGCGAGGGGCGGACAGGTATTTCGACTTTTGGCCGTGTTCGAGGATGGAAAGCAGGAGCAGCAGCACGCCAACCTTTCGCCACACTGCAACGCTTCCAATGCGTCCAAATCTCACAGTAGCAGCGGCTATTTGGGACGCGAGAAGGAAAAGAATCGGTATGCCCAACTGCTGAATGACAACAGGCAGGTGTTTTACGTCCCGCTGTCCACCAAGGGCAAGTTCTATGAGATTGAACCGGGCATACCCCAGCTGCTTCAGAAACTGGGCGACGCGCAGCGCAAGTTAAATCCGGAGTGTGTGCATCGGTTGGGGGCTTTGGTGGCAGCGGCCAAGCAATTGCCCCTAACCCTTCGCTATATTTCGGGTCCAGGTGCCGGTTCCGAGATTCCCGAGCAGCTGTGCATTAGCCAGGTGAGCAAGGAGGACGTGGTCATCGGATGTTCAATCGAGGATGTGGACGCCCAGACTCCTTTGCAGCTGAAGAAGTTCTACCCCAGTCGGGATGTACAGCTGGTTAAGAGTTTTTTGGGCTTTGACACCGAACAACGGATGTTGGCCAACACAAATGTGCAGAATATGCTTAAGTTCTGCCAGTTTAACTGCGATTCGTTCCTGAAGCTGGTAGAGATCGATACGGTTCAGCGAGCAGATCGTTCCGGTAGTAAGAGCAGCCGAGAAGGTCTTAGAATCTTGAAGCCGCTGCACTTCCCAAAGATCTTAAGGCGCGAGAAGAGCACCATGGCAGCGGCCCACGAAAAGGAGGATTCGATTATCTTTCTCAGCAAATCAGATTTGGAGAATCTGGAGGAGGCCAAGGAGGCAGCAAGCGCGAATCGGATATCCGAACGCATGAAGGTATTCCAGTCCACCAAGAAGAAGTGGTTCGGCAAAAACCATCCTCAGCACCAGCAACATCTTGAGAAGCAGCAATCTAACTTGGATCTGGACGAACAGGCCAAACGGATGAGTATGGAACGCTACACGGATATGTCCAAGCTGCTACAGGAACGGTTCGGTTCTGAGCATCCCGACCAGCCAGAGCAGGAGGATGGCATATCCCTCAATAGCACAGGAGCTTCTGAAACCGAGACCACAACCCTGACCACCATGGAGCACAAGTCACTGGATACTCTTATGCAGAAGTCCATGTCACTGCAGGACATTAAATTGTTGAACGGCGTTCAGCGCAAGTCAGCGCGACCAGATTTGCTGGTCAGTCACAGCCACAGCCACAGTCACAATCACGCCGATGTCGATGCCATCAGCGAGGCGGGCACCGAGCTGGACGATGTGGAGAACCAGACACCTCCACCACAGTCCTTTATTACGGAGAAATTGTACAACGAGTTCCATGTGAAGACCCGGCAGTATAGCAAATCCTCATCAAGTCTGCACCAAATGCGTCATTTCTCGTTACCTCAGAAAATGCAGCTTCACGAGGCGGAGAAAGAGAAGCGCCACTTGATTCAGCTAAAGGCCAAGCAGCTGTCATCGGCCAAGGAACCAGTCACTGGCAGGAGGGCAGCGGGTGGTGTCTGTCTGTTGGGCGGAGGACTCAATCAGATGCCGGGCTCGCCCTCGCCCTTTTCGTTGGTGGAAGATGATCTTCCCTACTCGAGTGTGCGTGATTCGCTGGTTACCACCGGCGATGGCTGCCTGAGATCGACGGAGGTTGCAACTAGGCCTAGATCGACGCCTGTCGTGGATTACACCAAGGAGAATATTTACGCAGAAATCTGTCCGCCGCTACACACCGTTGGGACCCCACAGTTCAACGGTGTACCAGACGATGATGGTGATTACGCGTCGCTCAAGTATCCGGCGGCCAGCAGCGGTCCGCAGTCCGTCAGTCGCATCGAGGTAAATGGAGATGCGGCAAAGAGCGGCGCCGCCATTAGCTATCATACCGTGTACCTGGGGGAGATGCCGCTGGGCGAGAGGCACACTGCACAACACATCACCACTGTGGAGCTTGCTGGAGAGGATAACATTTACAATACGCTCAAATGATGACTCATGTGATTCCGGCGACGTAAGTTTGTCGGCGCCAAGGGCTTATTTTAAGGAGACGCTTTTGGTCAAAGGGGCAAGGAAGAAGTAAACAAAAAAACTCCAGTCACACACGATCTTAGCATACTCGAGCTTTATCGAACAATTTTCAATTTATTGTCCTGTCCAAATTATTCAAACACAAAGAAAAGACTATGATTTCTTTCAATCAAGTTCAATCCCCTTACTAATCTCTTTCTTTCGTTTCAATGTAAGAAAATATTAAGAAAATATATTTTCATTTGTGTTTTTTCCGCAATGTAGACTTTATTAAAAAGTAATTTCATGTTTCTAATCAATATAATTTGCCACAATAGCTCAATAGTTCGCTAGTAATAAAAAACGATTAGATTAGTTATAATTTCAGTAAATCTTTTCTTAAAGATAGGTGATTGAACAAGATCTGTTTAATTGGACAAGCAAATAAGAAGGAAAAGCCCCCAATCTGATCTTAAATGAATTTATATTTTATTAAATTATATAGTAAGTTAAGAGAATAATAGCTTGGTTAATGCCAGCGTACATATGATTGCAGACACAGATCTGATAGTAGTTTTCAATTTAAGAAACCAATTTAAAATTGTTTGTCGGCCCTTTGACCATGGCCCAAAAGAGTTTAATGATAATATAAAATATTCCATATATACCAAATATATATGGCGCTGATGCACAAAACAAAAACACAAATGTAAAGAAGGCCACGTTTTCGTTTCGGAGAGAATCCAACCAAGCATAATTTGTGCAAATTCAAACAGAATTTGAATCTTTGTTAACAAAAACACCTAGAGAAATAAACGAAAAGGGAAATCTCTGTCATAACATATAACACACAAAAACGTATATGTATTTGTAGAGAGTAGTATTTTAGCATACCCAAACAAACAATATCGACAAGTGAAATTTTAAAAAATACATTATATACCAAGTGAAGACAAGCAATTTGTATTGTACATAATCTACTTATGTAAGGGCGGATCTCCTGCGCCGCCAGTCCACGACCCGCCCGCTCCCCAAAAATACAACAAAAGAATCATATGAACGAAACTGAACATTTGGAAATTGCAATATTATACAATTGTATACATTACTTATATATACATATAGGTATATACTTATATACACATTTACTTACATACATATACATTATGGAAATCTTAGTGCAAACCTAAGGTATTATTAGCTCGTAGGCAATCAACAAAGTCAAATCAAATCATAAGCGAAAAACATATACACACCCATAAATATATATATATATATACTGTATATTTGTAACATAGCATGAACTTTTAGGGCAATATGCCAAACTTTTACACGATCTCTCGTATATTTTGTCGTTTTCTCTATTGGAAACCACCCATTAACTTGGTTTTGTTGACAATTCCAAGTTGACCAAACAAACACGATTACACTAAAGTGCAAGCATGTCCATATCCCATTAATTACTTATTTAACCGCGTCTGCTTGTCCGCCCCATTGGGTGCCACTCGGTGGTGATCCTAGACATCTCTCCTTTAATACACATATTTAAAAAACGAATCGAGCCATCAATAAAAATATGCCTCGAAGCAGTGCTTAGAGTTTAAGATTGAAATATAATGGTTCTAGTCTTAATTTTGAGAGCAAATATGGAGACATGCCGAACTTTTATTTTTTGTAATGAAAGCGACTTCGGAGATCCGAAGAATTCTACAATATATACTTTTAATACGGTAGTACCAAATGACTTATAATAAGAAGATGAGTAACGCCATACGATTTTTGCATTATAATTTATTTTTCCAAGGAAAAGAAAGCTCTAGAGCCGGTGGCTCTCTTGAACACCTTCATTGGCAGATATTTAAATGTATTTTCAAGCAGTCTAGATCTGTGAGCTTACATACGGATTGCTCGTTCTGTGTTTTCTCACCCATTTTTTCGCTCTCAAATGTATGCTACAGAGGGGCAAATTTGCTGAAATATTGCTTGCATATGACAATTTAAATGTATGGGCGTTATGCATCTTTTTATTGTATGGTCTTCGATACTACACGCTTATGTAAATGTAAATATTTAGCAAGAATTTATGATTTTGTATTTAACTTCGTTTGTTATCACAATCAACAATACAAGAAATACTTTTGATTTGAAACGAAACAATTGTTTTTTATTTGTCCCTCCCAACACGGTATTCAGTCCAAGTAGTTGGAAGCAATTGAATAATAGGCTAAACTAGAAAACCCTGTAAAAATGAAGCAATACTCACAAAATAGCTATGATACTAGTTGTAAAATCTCCTCTGACAAAGCAGCAAACAATGCGGCCGCAAAGCAGGTTCAGTCAGTGAGTGTGTGTGATAGTAGCAAGGTAACGAGGGGTACTTGCTAAATGAATATCGGTGTTTTGTACATAGTTACGAACGAGGCCTCAGGCTTTTTGCATTATATACTACTAAGAGTACTGTGTGGCGGTTACTTTGCATTTCATATGTAGTTGCTAGACATGTAAACAAAAGGCTTCGCTGAAGCGCCAAGGTGATAAAGTGCTAGAATTGATTAATAACGTCGATGCACACATATGTGCATATTTCCCCCTCTTTGTGAACGATGATGATCAGCTTTGTATTATATATACATACATACATGTATAATCAGTGCTTGCAGATAATGATAAAGGTAACAATTACTTAACGAGCAACTACCCGCCAGCGTATATAAATTGGTGTGATAAAAATGTTTAACAGAAAACAATGTGAAATGGAAATGCTTTTATGGCAACACGACAAAATATCTATCATGTATAGTATGTATGAGCAAATGACATTTTAAACGTCTTAACGGTGAAAAACAATAAGTAAATACGTCACAAAAAATATTTATTTTTAGCAGCTTAAAGTACCAACCACATTCTAAAGCAAATGCAAAACTGCAAGGCATTCTAAGCATTATCAGGAACTATTGTGAAAATGCAAGCAGGAGAAAGCAGGGATTGCACCAATGTGGTTAGCAATCTAATCTTATCCACAATACGGCCCAACCACAGAGCAGGCCTTTAACGTATTTTATTACGGCTTTCAGAAGAGCTAGAATCCTAACAATAAGAAATTAAATAACAAATTAACTGGATAAACGGAAGGCGAAAGCAAGTCAACTAAGTAATCATGTTTTTGGTGTCTATGTTAATACCTAGAAATTCTATCACGATTAATCAATTAGAGAACTCAATGTCAAACAGTAGTAGTGCCCACATAGCAACATAAATACATATGAAAACTGTCCTGTCCCCGTTTCCAATATGGTAAAAATTTGTGTAATCTGATTTGATCAGTTAGAATACAATATTCGACTGTACATTATACCAAAAACTGACTTAACAGTTTTTGATCAGATTTGGAAGCGGGAACAGGAGTTCAGGAGAGGTAACAAAGAAATATTTAACAATATGTACTCATACACTTAAATTCCTTGTAACCTTGTAGTATTTTTAGACTCTCAACAAACAAAGAAACAAAGACCCAACTTTAGGTATTCACGAGAAAAGATAAGATGTTTTTGGAATCGCTGATCGATATTTTAGAAGAGCCCTGCTTTGAGCTGGGCATGACTGAATTGATAGATGAGAATTAAATTGAAACGAATTGAACTCTATTGAAAAGTTTGGTAGTGGGTACACATTACACACACAAAATTAACACACACACAAGGAAAGCTAAAAAAATATTATTGTTATTGTATAACTTTTTTAAGCGCTGACCGTGGAAAATACACAAGAAGTAATTCAAAAGTCTCCTCGACAGTAGCTTACCTCAGCAAAGGCAGCTCGTTTCAACAGATCAACACTAACAACTGAGGCCACCCAATCAACTTTAGCATACAAATTTATATTTCACGTTGTACTTATATTTAACTAGATTAAAAAGGATAACAATACACACAAACACACAGAAAAAAACATTTGGAAAACACGTTTATACCCATACAAGTGAAATAAACTAAAACGATACCTTTTGAAACTCTGGATATATTTATTTTGGAAAATGGGTATGAGATTTGTCGAATGTTCAAGCTTGTGGTAAATACTTTTGGGTATTTCTAATTACAGTATTTACATATACATATTACATTACATATTTGAGCATAGCGTAAAAATAAATATCATTACTAAACTGATTATTGAAAGCTCTAGCGTTTTATAGTCTCTGAGATCTGTTGAGACTGATAGACGGACATGGCTAAATCGACTTTGCTGGTGACCAGGAATATATATACTTCGGACCAGAGATGTCACTATATATTTATCTAGAATGACAGCTATATGATATAGTAATCCGATTTTCATAAAATTAAAACCGAAATTCTATATTAATATAAAATCTATATATCTTAAAGTATATTTAAATCTGTTGAAAACTGAAAATGTTATTATTTTTTTGTACAAATTTTCCCATCATTCCTATGACAGCTATATGATTTAGTTGTCCGATCCGGCCAGTTCCGACATATATGCGAGTGAGAGTATATAGAAGACTAACTACAAGATTTCATTCAGATAACTTCAAAATTAGAGACTAGTTTGCGTAGAAACGCACAGACGGACATGACTAGATCGACTTGGTTGTTGATGCTGATCAAAAATATATATACATTACATTACCGGAAGTGACTGCAAGGGTATATACTTTATATGGTCAGAGGTGCCCCCTTTTAGTGCGTTGCAAACTTCTGAGTAAAATTATAATATTTTGCAAAGATATGAAATTAGAGGAAAAGGCAAAACTGTGAATGTTTAACTATAAATATAATATGTATAGGTGAATGAAATAATTTAAATTGCACTAATTCCTAGTGATCGATTACAATCTGCAAGGGTATTAAACTTCGGCGTGACGAAGTTAGCTTCCTTTCTTGTTTTGTAATATTTTTTCTACCGTTTATATTTCTTGGCTATATCGACTTGGCCGGTGATGTTTATTAGGAATATATCATTTTATTGATCGGATATGCCTTCTCCAAAGCAATAGAATAAATTTGAGAGGTAAACAAGAAACAGCAAAACAAAACATATACAAAGTGTGCAGCCACAATAAACCCCAATGGGACTCATAATAACTTGAATATTTAAATGTGGTGACACTGCCAGAGTCACGTTTGCGTGACGAATTTTCAGGTTCTGTAAAGCACCGTTGTTTCTACGAAAACTACGATGTAAAACTCTTGTGTAAAATGAAAAACACCTACATTTTGTAAATGTAAAAGGCTTTTTGCATGTCAATGTAAAATTTAGAACTAAAGCTCCAATCTGCTCCAATTTTCTGCTTTTTGCCGTACTGTTGCAAGGCATGAGTTCGCTCCAGTTTCCTTAGATTCACGGAGATGCAGCTTGTTGGTTGTCTTCGATGCGAATTAATTAGTTGCGAACCAAATGAGTTAATGGAATAATTAAAATTAATAATAAACAAGAAAGGAAGCTAACTTCGGCACGCCGAAGTTTATATACCCTTGCAGATAGAACTTCTATGAATAGGAATCCATACAATATAAATTATATATATTTGTGTTAAAAAACAATGAAGTAATACCTGCTTTCATTTCATTCACCTATACATATTAAAATTGCAGTTTTACATTCACTGATTTGCATTTTTCCTCCACATCAAACGATCGTTTGTATGGCACCTATATGATATAGTCATAAAATTTTACACAAAATTTAAGACTTATATAAAATGGCTATACCTCAAATTTGATGAAAATCTGTTGAAAACCGAAAAAGTTATAATTTTTAATTGTTTTAATTTCTCGATCCTATGGGAGCTATATGATATAGTCGTCCGATTTTCATAAAATTTTATGCAAAATTGTAGAGTATAGTAAAATGGCTATATCTCAAATTTAATCCAATTCTATTGAAAACTGAAAAAGTTAAAATTTTTTTTGTAAACATTTTCTGATCATTCCTATGGCAGCTATATGATTTAGTCTTCCGATCCGGCCCGTTCCGACATATATTCGAGTGAGAGTATATAGAAGGCTAACTACAAAGTTTCATTCAGATAGCTTTAAAACTGAGAGACTAGTTTGCGTAGAAACGGACAGACGGACAGAAGGACAGACGGACAGACGGACAGACGGACAGACGGACATGGCTAGATCGACTCGGCTGTTGATCCTGATCAAGAATATATATACTTTATATAGTCGGAGGTGCCTCCTTCACTGCGTTGCAAACTTCTGACTGAAATTATAATACCCTGCAAGGGTATAAAAATTGTCTTTATTCTGCAAGTAAAAATTAATAAGGCTAAAAACTTAAAATCTAGGAAATATCTCCTCATTTACATTTTCAGATAAGAAAGCAAACAAAATTATCCTTTGAGTTTTCCTTTATGGATCGCAATGGCAAATTAACAAGAACGTAAAAGTAATTTAAAAGAAATTTCTGATGAAATTTTGACTGTTTTCGAAGTGCCTTTATTATCTACCAAGGTGCCACTTTTTAGAAATTGTGCATGTATCGCTTAGTCAGAGGCTTACAAATGGCTCATACATATATAGATCAGGACTTAGAAATTCCTGTCTACTTGACCGGCGAATAGGACTACATAACAACGGAGATGGGGTATTATAAAATTAAGAGGATGTGTTAGCCGCTTTAAGATGTGCAATGGATCTGCTGGGATTGATTGGGATGCATCCAATAGCAAATTTATCGATGGTCTGATGGGGGAGTTAACTGTCACATCCCTTCCTGAAAGCGATACTCAGCAATGGATCCGTAGAGAAAAGGAACTTAACAAGGGGTTTTCATCGGGATGAGAGATCAAATGCAGTTGTTTATGCCTTCGGAACAAGATAAGAACACATTTATTATCATTCCTATTCTATGATCCATAACTAAGGTGATATCGTTGGAACAGAAGTGTGTTGCTCAAGAGATACAAGACAATAATGTTCTGTCTTAATAAAGGGGTCCATCCGAATCGGTTCACCCCACCCTCAAATAATTTCCAACAATATTTTCTTTTGTATTTAATTTTAATTTCTGCACATATAGTATACATTCATACATACTAGTTCATAAATTTTGTTTTACGTTTTTTTTCATTTTCTATGGCTTTCTGCTGCTTTGGTTGCTGTACCTGCATCTTACACGTTTCGCTTTAAGGATGTTACATTTGCTTTTTTGCGGTTTCTTTTTCTTGTAGTAATATGGCCATACCTAATATTATGGATTCTGTTTATTTTATTTACTTGTTATTTATTAGACGTCGTAATTTTCTGCGTGACATACCGGTTCAAGGAGCAAGCACTTACATATTTTAAAAAATATTTAAAATTTTCCCAATTTTATTAAATTTGTTTTAAAATTTGAATTTTGTAATCGACTTTTGAATGTTTGAATCAAAATCATGTGGATTGTTATCATAAATTTGACTTTGATCAAAATAAGAAATACTTTTATTGTTAAAATTTTGCACTCTTTTCAAATTTATTTTCAGGAGCTAAAATCAGCTCAACTTCAAATTAGACGAGCCCTAAAAAAACATTAATAAGAACCATGCATTTTAGCATTTATTGTAATGGATTTATTTGTAAACTCCTTTTTGACGCTTGCTTCTAGGACACGGACACCAGTGCCTAATACTTTTTGAACTCTGTGGACTTATGATTGGAATTATTTAAACTGAAACACACTCCCATGCATACTTGTACATTTATATTTGGGTATTTAGCTGTCTGACACTGCTTGGGTCTAGCGGACGCTTACATTTTTGGATATATATCTAATTGGTTTAGTTTTAGCCATATTCTTTCGATTTTATGTTTAGCTCTTTTGACAATTCGGACGCATGCCGTCTTCGCGTTAGGTTTCTTCTTGTTTGGCTTGTTATTACATTACGTGTTAGATTGGTTTGTGTATTTCGTTAGCGATATGTTTGGAATACAAACTTTATAATACCCTGGCTATGTTTTTGGGATAGCTGTATTTTTTGCTGAGCACTTGGGCGAAGCCTGAGGAACAGATCGGACCATCGGAAGGAAGTAACATAAGTTGGTATGTAGCTGCAGAGTGGATGAAACATCCGAAAAGCGTATTGAGGAAATCGGGGGAAAAAAACATAAGTAAAGCCTAGGGGAAATTCACAGGTACACAGACACTGAAGCAACTTTGTTTTTAAACGAACAATAAAGTCATGTTCTGAGCTGAAAAGTGGACTTTAGTTAGCCAATTGATGGTTTCGTTTCCATATGGGAGATGCATCGATCGTATTCCTAATTTCGTAGTCAGAACATGACCCACTTCGGGCGTGGTTTTTAGTTCTCTTAGTTTTTCTAGTGGCACATTTAAAAGATAGTCCTCGGGCACGCCTACGTAATACCCTTTCACTCTAGCATACACCTGGCACACACACCCATCCAGTCGCACACACACATACTCGCGCAGAGAACCTAGACATGTACATGGAACCTGGCGGCTAACTAAGTAAGTAAGATCGAAACTAATTCCCATTATCCTATTGGCCTAGCTTAGCCGGACTGAGCACCAGTTCAGGCTCGAGTTTGCTTGACGACGCCGCTGGCGCTGTCGTCGAGGGCGGTGCCTGCAGCCTGCCACCACGCCCCATTGCCGAACCGGCGGATGAGGGATGCGACTTCTGCTCCAGATGTGTGCTGAACGGCGCCGTGGACAGGCCGGACGCCGTGGCTGGTCGCACCGCCGGCATGGGTTGCATTAAGCTCAGACTCAGACTCTTGGCTCCGCTGGTTTCCGGCACCTGGCCGGGAATACTGGCCGCCGCCATTGTGGTGGCGGTGGCCACCGTCGGCGGCGCCGGAAGCGGCAGCAGACTGATCGTTGTGGTGGTGGGCGGCATGGCGGCAGTGGCACCCACCTTGCTGATGGGCATCGTGTACGCGGAGCTGCTCATGGACATGCCCAGCGGACCGCGCACGGTTGCAGATGCGGAATACGTGTGCGGCAGGGCCGGGGGCAGGTCGTAGCTGATGGGGTGCGACTGCGAAGTGGGCAGCCGCGCCGTGATGGTGGGCGTTGTCGTCGTTGTAGTCATCGATGACGATGTCGTAGTCGTTGTCGTCTTGAGCACTCCCGAGGAGAGACCCGTCCGCGTGGGGTATCTGGGTATCGCTCCTGTGCTGCAGCTGCCCGGTATCACAGCTGGAGCTGCAGCAGATGCCGCTGTGGCACTGTTGCCGGCATCTATCAGGGATGTTTCCTCCTCGACCACGACGCCATCCAGCGAGTCCCTGATTGTGGAAGAGGAGGACAGCGACTGCGACTTGGAGATATGATGCTGCTGCTGTTGCTGCTGCTGCAGCTGTGTGCGTTGCTGTTGCAGGGCCACTCGCTGCCTCACCAGCTTGCTGTCGGGCTTCTCGTCAACGGTACTCAGTGTGGTGGCTCTCGTTACCCTCGAAGGTGCACTTGCTCCTCCTCCTGCTCCTGCTCCTGCTGATGTCGGGTCTTTGGTGGTACTAATCGTAACGGCAGTTGTGGCTGTTGTAGGTTTGGCAATCTGCTGCTGATCCTCCTGGTCATGCTCCTCGTCACTCATCTCGCAGGCATTGAGGGCTGTCTGCAATTTCTTCATCTCCAGTGGAGCATCTAAACAGAAAATTAGTGATATTAGTTAGAGTTTTTATGATATGGCTTATATATTTAGTATATTTTTAATATTTTATAGATACAATAAGGTTTGGTGCTTAGTACTATGATTTTACCACCGCTGTCCGGCTCATTGATGATCGGTACTACGCGATTAATGGCAGTCTTCTGCTCATTCTGCATAAACAACGATGTGGTGGCAATTTGACGTAATGCCTCCATTCCCTCGTTGAGCATTTTGCTCTGACTCCGTTTGTGCGCTATTGGATATTTGGCCTACATAAAATATAGATTAAGATATAGTAGAAACATGTAAGAAATTCATCATCTTTAAACACATATTTTATACTATTTATGTATTTAAAAATAACATTGTTAAACCTATAAGATTGTTGTTACAAGAGAAGGTCTGCGGATCAGAAAATTTCTCGGCCGGGCCTCTGCAGGAACATTCACTCTATAACAGTTGGTTCGGAAAGGTCTTCGGGGACGGACTACTTTTTGTTCTTGAGAGACTTTGTTCCCCGAAAACTAAGGATCCTTACTTTCCTTAAAAACAATCATGGTATTATTATATTTAGCACATATTTATTTTTACTGCCTTCCAAGAGATATCAATCTACATTCAGACGGACAGGCATTAGTTTGAAGTGCATTTAAGCATTCTTAAGATAAGAAGTAGTAGTAGAATAGGCCTTTAAGTATCTAGATTTCAAAAATCGTGGATGTTTTATTAACTGATTAACCTTGTTGAACCTTTGGACAGTCATGTCTTTATGTTTTCAAAAATCTGCACTAATAGAAATATATTAATTTACACACTTTTGCTTTTCACTACACATCAACTAAAATTGCCTTCTCAGTTCTTTCAGATAAATGTAAATGCTTTAATACTAAGTACCTGCCAACTTCTTTCAACTACCTTCCTTCAGATAATAATCAACTTTATAAGAAATCTCACCTGAATGCTGGGTCCCCTCGCTATGGATACTCTTTTGCTTTCGTTCCTCAGCAGCGAGGTGGTGTGATCCGCATCGATTTTGTTGAAGTTTTTCTTCCGCGTCTTCTTGCTGGATGAGATGCAGTGCGATGGGCAGATGCAGAAGAGGATGCGTAAAATGCAACAGATCAGACCCAATCCTGCGGAAAAAGGATTTCTTAGCACAACAGAATACTGAAGGTTCGGTCAACAAGTTTATTGCCTATGAGAGAGGGCCCTATAAGTCTTAGTTCCACGGTTTTGAAGCCTTTCTCCCCGGTGCCCACGAATGCGATGACCAAGCCCAGCGCCACCGTGCCCAGGCCCACGTAGAGAAAGGCGTTCGCAAAGGTGCTGGGACCGCGCAGAACGCCCAGGAAATCCTCGTCGTCCGAAGAGCCGCCCAAGGAGGCGTCTTGTATCTGCCAATGGAAAGGGACATTGTCAGTAAGTCGAAATAAAATCATTTTCAATGTGATTTTAAACACAACTTAAGGTATTAAGAAAACTGGAATGTTTCTATTCCGAAAAATGTTAAATATAGAAGGGATAGTAACAGTATAATACAATTTGTTCTCTCTAATCAAATGAATTAATGTTGCGAAATATTTAAATGGCTTTCTCTAAAGATTTACTATCCTTTTTAATTTAGATACAAAAAAAATTATAAAAATCTTGACGGAGAATATCAATAGAGTCTTTATAGAAATAAAAGTTGTTGTTTTCCTGTTTCGTCTTTCCAGAGTTGTGTTCCTATGGAGGAGGGATCCCTTATGTTGATTAATTATTTGGTTTAATAGTCGCAGATTAAAGTAAATAATTTGATGTATTGGCTGCTAACTGGATGCACTTTCTGCCTGATCCACCTAACAGGGAATGCGCTGAACACTGGGAAAATGGTGCATGAAGGAGAGGTGGCATGGTGACGGTGATGTGGGGGTAGAGAGGTACAGGTACAGGTACAGGTGAGAGTGAAAGTGATAGTGAGATGCCGCTGGGCTAGAGGTACAGCCTGGGTAGTATGTACAGGCGGGAGGCATGTCCTGAGAGGTTCCTAGGTGGGGGCACTTACTCGGTTGCGCTTCACCCAGCGTCGGTGGCAGGTGGCCTGCTGCTGCTGCTGATCCTGGACGCTGCAGCGTCGGCCCCGCTCCAGCCAGGCGGCCCGTCCCTGGGCGCACTGTGGGTCGGGTCGGGTTGGGTCGGGTCGGGATCGGAATCGAAATCGTAATCGTTATCGTAATCGGATTCGGGATCGATACCGAGTGACAACGACGACATGATAGCGCGGAGACCAACACCAAGCGACGACGACAACAACACACACAGTGGTCGCGGTGGTTGCGGTGGCGATATTGGGTTTGTTTGTTTTGCGGTGACGGTGGGGCAGATGCATAGAAAATATATACAGTTAAGTGATTAGTTGGACTGTGTGAGATCGTCTCTCGTTTGCGGATAGGGGTACACGTATTGTAAAGATCTTAAGTTATCAAAAGCATACAATACAACTCATCACAAGAGTAACGTCTAATGTAAAAGCAATCAAATTTCGATTTCAAACTGAATACTGCATTTTTTCGTTGGCTCCGAGAATCGGTATCTTGCCATCAAGTACAACATCAATGGGAAACATAATTGGCATCCAATCGGGAAATAATTTGGTTAGGTAAAGGCATAAACACACTTCAGAGTTAAACGGTTAACAGTAAGGATAATGATATCAAATATGGTTAAACATCGAGTAAGAGGGAAAGATAGATACATATAGAGGGGGCGGATAGAATTAGGAATGGGAATATGGAACATCAACTGAAAAACAAGAACACTGAAGGGAGTTAAGCAGAAAGAGAGCACACTTCAAGACACAAGTCATAAGTATTCGTTTATTTGCTTCCCAACAATATCACTCGGCATGCCTCAGTCGAAAGATCTTAAAATCACAGCATAGCAAATCACTTTTTTAGCGCAGCCACATGCATTAGTAAGAAACCGAATAAATAAATCCATTCTCAGTATATTTATAAAATATGTTTGATTTATGTTCTCATAAGTGTAATATCATTCGCCTTGGGAAAATCTTGTGCAAATTAGCTGTTGACATGACACCTCCCCGATGACTCTTTATTAGGTCCCCAGAATATATGGAAGAAATTCTTACTGCCATTGAACCATGAATAACTATTAAATACGTTTTGTTTTTAATTAAAATTTTGGGAAGATACAGTCAAATGCAAATATTTTTAAGAACAGCTTTGAAGGTATTTTGTAATATTTTACAATATATATTTTCACACTGAAAATCTTGAAAACCTTTTTTCAATCAAATGGATTGGGTCTAAATCATAACTGCAAATGTATGGCTTTGGCCATCTGAAGTAAGTTTTATTTCTTGATTTATAGAGTAGTTTAATTTTGTTTTTATAAAAAATTCGAATTACTTTTACCACTAATGGAAATATACTTACAGTTTTGTAACGAAAGGCCCTATGATATCGAATAGTTTCATATATTACTTTTAGAATATTGTCATGTGATGGACTAATGGCTTCTGACATTTTCATTGTATTTCCAAACAAAATAAAATTAACTATGTCTTAGAAAATATCTTCATAATTTTTTTTTGATAGAATATCAGCAACTCAAGATTAGTAAAAGAATGTTGGTTTTCTCGTTTGTTTCGATAATAAATTTAAATCTGTCAATTATAGGTATGGACAATGCCAAAAGTACTTTTTTTTAACAAAATGTATATATACATATATATTAGATTTGACATTATATTAGAACTTCTATCAAAAAACGCTGAAGCTGATGGTTTATTAGCGTCTAAATCGACTCGTCTGTAGATGATGACCAAGAGTTAATATAACGGATATGCCTCTTGCAACTCATACATTAAAATACCCATCGTACAGCATAAATAACATTAAATAATCCACTGGGCACATATTTTTTAATACCAAATGTAAAATATTACAATTTCTTTAGGAAATTTTCCCATCATAATCCCACCTAGTGTCTTAAGAAAGGTCCTGACCCCACAAATTGGGAGATTTCCCCATTTGCCAAGTTGACAATGGCCAAAGCCAACGACGTGTCGTATACTTGATGTTGGCTCAGTTTTATTTGCCTTTTTAAGGCAAACTTCGTTCGTTTCTGCCCGACTTGCCGCAGAGCAAACAAACAAACACAAGTCAATGTCAGTTCAAGTTGCACAGACACAGGGGCACCGCGATGCCCCACGCAAACAGGTGCACACCCACAGCCCCTTTTGCATACACAGAGCCCACTAGCACTGGCCAGCACGTAGACAGGCTAATGAGTGACTCGACTTGGCTCGAACCGACTTGGGGGGATCCGGGTTTTGCGGAGCCATCCAGCTCCAGCACAGTGGTGGAGCTGTGACTATAAACAAGGCAATGCCACTAAGCCAGCTACTAAATATGCTGCGTGTCAGTAATAAGGCAAATAAAGCGACAAGCACACACAGGGAAACATATACACACATATATACTAAGGGTGGCCTATATACCGAGGAGGAAGGAAATCCAACAGATATATATGACGGTATAGTTGGCGTATATACAAAGTGAACATGATGGACTCTGTATGTAGGGCCACGTTTTCTGGTTTCGTTTGCTGTTCGTGTGCAAAATCGCAGTCACACAAAGCCAGGGCCAGAAAGGACGAAGGGAAGCGGGGAGCAAAGTATCGATCGGCTGCTCCACATAACTGAAACTGTAACTGTTGTCCTGCCCTTGACTTAATGTAGGTGTAATCAAAAATTTGCGACGCTGATTGACGGAGAGCGAGGCGTCTCGTCCACCGAAGGTCGCCAGAGAGTGTCGAGGAGAGTGGCAGAGTCACACGTGGAGCAGCGACTCCTCCACTGGGAGGCACTCCAAATATTTCGTTGGCTTTCCACCAAAGGTCAGGTGTTTCGTTAGGTGGTGGAGTTTCTCTAGATCTGAAGTGGAGCTGTGTCATTGGGGGTGACAGGAGTCACTAAATATTAACAGAGCTACTAAGACTTCTCTTGAGTAGTTTTGAAAATAAATTAACCCTTTTTTAAAATCTTTAGTTATTTATAAACGAATTTCTAATTAATGCAAAATATATATAAAATATAAATATAATAAAAGGTTAAGCTGAAAATTCCAGATATATGGTATAACCATCTTACTATCATACTTATTTATACTATTGTACTTATAATTTAGAAGAATTCAATTATAAAACTTACGTAACTGGATTAATAAATATAATTATTATCTAAAATTTGTGGATTTAAAATGTTGTTAATACAGAGAAAGAGAGTCTTGAGGGGAATTTTTTTGTACCCTTAACAGGTATTTGAATATTTAACATCACCTTGGGAAGCCAATGCTTTCAGAGGGTAGGGTATGTTTTAAGGACTTCTGGGAAATTGCTTATTAATATCGTAAAAAATTCGACAATTATCTCCTGTTTTTTTAATGGATATGCACAATATTGACAAATTGGCGAATTTAGTCAATTTAATAAAGTTGCCTTTTGAGGAGGCTTGAACATATTTGCCATTTAATTTAATGGAAATATTTTTGCGAATACGCACACGCCATGTGTTCATTAAACTTTCACCTTTTGCCATTGTTAAATATTTCGCAGACTTTTTCGGTAAACCAGCCGATATCTATGGCCAATCGATGAACTCGCTATTTATAAGAGCGCTGCCTCTCCTCCTGGAAAATAGTGGCCTAACCTTTGGCAGTAGTAACACTCACGCAATGCGAGCAAGCGAACAAAAAATGGGAAAATAGAAATGTTGTAAAAATTACAACAAAGCGTCGGAAATGCTCTCAATCGGGTCTGGCGCATGGAGGCGACAAAACGCTAATGAACACAGGACACGGAAGCCAGTGCAAGGAAGTAAGTAACCGGCAAGGTTGTTCTCCGATTTCGGCCCAGAAAAAGAAAGCCAAATATGCTTCTTTAATGGCAAATCGAAAAAACGCCAGCAAACGAGGCAGCGTATGTGAGCATAACAGTTCCAGGTTAAGAGTTTATCAACTCAGCTACTCCGATGTATTTAACGTAATATTTCTTTTTTTTTTTTGTACCTCAACAATGTAACCATGGTTAATAATGTCGCTGCCGCAATAATTCCCATTTAATTAACGATAATTACCACTGCGTAAACCCCCTTTCGGCAAAGTGGCTTTGGGCTTAGTTAGGATTCAGCCTTTTCCATTGTGATAATCGCCATTGATTTCGGTTTTCATTGTGTAACAATAAATTGTTTTGCCGCAATTGGCCATCGGCGTCGAAAATTAACATGTTCTCGTCGACGATTTCCCAGAGGCGAGCCAGAGCAATAGGCCATTATCGGCAGCAATTTATTCGGGCTCATTAATTGTTTGAGAACTGATTGTTTGTTGTTTGCCCAAGTTCTACAAGCTTGTTGTTTTTTCTACCCGGGGACACGCTGTTAAATTGCGGTTAACAGTTTGAAAATGCGTTGAAACAAGTAAGCTGCATTTGTCGATACGATTTGAGTAGGGTTTATTTGTTCATAACTTATTTTTCATTGCTATATACGCTTGATTTCATTAGGCTAACTAGCCTTATTAAAGCAACAATCAACATAAGTCTTGGGTTTTTGCAGCACTCTAAGATTTCCAGCTCACACTCATCTTGATCTTTCTGTAAGCAATTGAAAACAAATCTGTTAAGGACCCTTCAGCATACATGGCCAAGGAGGAGGCAGGTGGCAACGGACCAGTGATTTGGCCCGTGTACAACCTGATTATGCAGCTGCAGGTGAACAACTTGAGTTGCGCAGCATCAAATGCGAAATGCACTTGCGAAATCAACACCAAGGATGGCAGGCCAGTCCTGGCACTCGGCGCTCGGCGCTCGGACAGGTGGGCCGAGAGCCAAGGAACTTGGCCAGCCAAGCAAGAGTGGGGCGCAGGCTAATGAAAAATGCAGGAGCGGCCACAGCTGGAGCTGACACACGACCTGGTCGTAAAGAACAGAGGGAAAGAAAGCTAATGCTGTGCTGTGGTTAGACAATGCAGCAGCAAGCAAAAATTGAGGGCCACGGCCAGGGCCAGGGACAGAGACGGGGACGGGGACGGGGACAGGGGCAGGGACAGGCGCAAAGACATTACAGGCAATTTCACTAATCGACACTGAGAG